TCCCTACAGTTTGGCTGCCTTTGTAGGCTGAGTCCCCTAGAATGGCTTTGGTGGTCTGGGCATCAAGTCAAGACCTAGGCCATTAAGCGTCATCGAAACCCAGCAGGATTCATTATGTGGAATAATTCATTATGTGGAGCAGCCGGGTTGTCATGTTGCAGTCTGCTCTGCGACCTGGAGTTCAAGTGATCTGTATCAAATTTTACCAAGGATCAATTTTCCTATTACTTTGCTTCGCTGTGCATGTTTCTACAATCAGATTAGCAAAGATCCTACCCCTATTAAGACCCGAAGCAGAGCACAAAGTCTGAATTCATGAATATTTGAAGCTATTAAGCAGTAGGGCTCATAGATGTCTCTATCTGAAGAGAAGTGCCCAAGCAGCAACCGCTTGCTGTGGTTTTGTTCTTTGGAGCAGGGTGCCTGGAATGGCTTCAGTAATAGCTGGGCCCTATTCTTTAATTGCAGTGGCAATCAGGATCATGCTACTTTTGGTTCTTTCTCTGGTTTTTGGGTGGGGTTTTTTTGCTTATTTAAATTGTCATGTAAGTAAGATGTTTGCTCAAGACTGTTTCACTGACTCGTTTCCTTTTCCCAAACCCCTCATCCAAATCTATGATCCAAGCATTGTTTTTGTACACTTACTACACAAGTGGCTTCTATTCTTCTCTCCTTGTTAGTGGTTTGGCTTTATTTTAAATAGCACCCCTCTGAAAAATAATTAATTAGAACGGCTTATTAGAAAAATCAGTTTGGATTTTTTCCCATGCTCTTAAACAAAATGTAGTCGGAAGCCTTTGGGTTGGAGCTATGGACAGTATTCCTCTTTGGCAATCCTGCTAATCATCGCTGACAGAAATTTCTTTTAAAAAGATTGTTCTGCATAGTCAAAACTTGGCAGAGAGGTGTCCTCCAAAGAGAAATGGAACAATAGGAAGTTGGTGGTTTCTTTTTAAAACCAGCTTTTTTTTTTTTGTTTTCTTGTCTGCATTATGGCTGGAGGTCTAAGCAGTGTGCATCTCCTGATGAAGATTCCCATTAGACTGCTGGGGTCAGAGGGTGGGATTTGGTGGTTGCTCATGCCCACCTAAGATCTTGCAAGTGGATGGTGGCCGGGCTGGCCCAGGTGCTTTTTCCCATCACTTCACCGGTAGATGAGAAAGGACCAGATGGTATGAGCTTGACCAATGGAAGGATCAGGGAGATACAAAGCCTTTCCCAAGATGTGTCGTGCAGTGATGGAGGTCTCTGGTCCCATCCACAAGCCCACACTTCTCTCCATCAGTACAAAGTGCTCATCTCTGAATAAGCATGAGTGCATTGAGAAGAACAGGCATGAAGAAAAGGTCAGTACTTGCCTGGCCCAAGCCCTCACAAGTAGGGAAGTGAGTTGTGAAGTGATGTATCAGTACCTGTTTACTCCTCCTTTGGTCATTGACAGACACCGTGCTCTGACCACAACTGCAGAACATGATGTGCTGCACACCTCAATCTTCACACCAGCACAGAAGCGGGCACTATTGCCATTAACAGCTGCTCTGCACATGTGTGAATTACTCTTCTTTACAGCCAACTGCTCTGTCAGATCCCCACAACCACTGGTTTGGAGTAGGACAAGTGGCCTGGCAAAGGAATGCAGAATTAGGAAGTGGGTTGATGTTCTCCTGTTGTGTAATTGGGTAAAAATAAACCAAGTTGCATACTTAGGAGTGGAAGGGAACATCTGGTAGAAACCAGTTTAGTTCTGTGTTTGTTTGCAAGACCAGGTTTGTATTTGGTATATTGAGTGTTTATGACCCCCACTTTGCATCAGTGTGAGTTTGAAGGACAGTTTCTCAGCCGATACATATGAGCGTGGTACCCTCGACTGGGGTCAGGGAAGGCTGCAAACTCCTTACCCAGCTCTGGTTTGTGTTTAGTTGTAAATTCCAGAGTGAACTGGACTTGGTTTGCTCAAACACCATGAAGTCGTAGAATCATAGTACTGCTTAGGTTGGAAAAGACCCTTAAAATCATAGAGTGCAACCATTATAACCATTGCAAGCCATGACTGCTTGGTTCAGCCCTTGGTTTAGGAAGGGAGAATACACTTCAGAGCTTCTTTTCCCTTCCCTGTACCCTCTGTGGATGTGGAAATGGTGATTTAATCTGATACTTCTCTTGCCTCCTCTGCTTAGGGGAATAATCAAAATAAAACACATAAGTAAGAATTGACATGTATAATTTGACCTGTTACAAGGCAGCATGGAGAATGTAGAATAGCCTTACAGCTGCTGTGGAGGCACCTGATAACCAAAGACCAAACTGGCTCCATGAAAATGTTGGGTTTGTTCTATAAACTAAGCTCTTGCAGTAGTTTGGAACTTTCTTTGGAAGCAAATGGATGTGATTTTTTTGTTAGCAACAAAATATTGGTTGCAAAAGAGCATCTATTCAATCCTTCTGTGCTGTTTCCTATGCCTCTTGCTCTTCATGTTGGTAGGAAAAATTATTTCTGAAGTCTCAATTTTTTAAAGTTAATAATTATGTTAGTGAAGGAATTATTTGTTTTTCAGATTTACTCTTGCCCTGTGATTTAGCCAGTTCCCCATTTGTGTAAAGGAAGTTTCATGTTGCTATTTTGTTGATATTTTAATTTAATTTTTTTTTTAAAGGAAGGATGGCCACATGAGAATATTAACTAAGTAATATGAGTTTTCTTGTAAAGAGGTATTTTAAATAGGTATTTACAGAACTTGTGTTTAAATAATGACCCCAGCCCTTAAAATTTAGACCACATATCTAAACCCTTCACCTGTACAGAGTATCAGTGTCCTGGGCTGTCTTACAGCCAGATCCTTACAGCTCCAGCTGCAAGAGAAGAGCTTGTGTTACATGGTCTTGTATTCATTTTTCCTATATTGTAAAAGCAGTGGTGTTGCATCCAGGATAGTGTAAGAATATAAGAAAGGTGAGGTTTGTATGATACCAGCTTCCAAAGCTGAAAAAAACTGCATAAACTTTGGGGCATGGAAGCTTGAAGAAGGGCTTTTCCTTTGAAGCTTATTTGTTTTTCCATTTTACATATCATTCTAATGAAATATATTGCCTCTCTCCCAAATCTTGATTCTCTTGCATTTATCTTCTCCTTAACTTGTGCAATAACATACTTGTTTTTTATGATTATGTATAAATGTGTGGTTTAATAAACAACAGGTTTGAAATGATGCGTTTTATTGACGTGTCTAAAAGCAGATCTTGGGGCGTAGTGCCTTTTTTTCCTTCTGTTCCTTATCGGTCCTTCAAAATAATCAGTCTGTTTTTAAGCCAAGGGGAAGGTCTGAAACATTTGTTTTGGCATTTACTTCAATGATGTGATTGTGGTTGGTTGGTCTGATTTCCTCAGTAACCAAAAAAAAACAAACCAAAAGTAATTTCTCCTTCATCATCTAATTAAATGCAAACAGTGTGTGTACTTTTTGTAGATGCTCTAAGTTCATGCCATAAATTTCCATCCTAGTCCTAAGCTTGCCAGTCTGTGTACCAGTAGAAATGAGATATTTAATCTGCTTCAGCATTTAACATGATGTGCCAGATTTGGGTAAAGTTCAGATAAGAAGTCATATCAACTTTAACAGACTAGCCTGTAGAATGTTCCAATATCTTTAATAAGTTATGAAGTTTTAATATGCTAAATATTAGAGAAAGAGCAAACATTGTAATGTGGGTGCATTGAAATAATCCAATATTAAAAATACTAACGTTTTGTTACATGTTTTACAAATCTATGCCAGATTTCCCTATGGATTCTAACAACGGCAACTGCAGAGGAGCTGGCATTGGTAAGTACACTTGTATGAAGCTGTATAATAAGTTACAATCTTTCTATTCCTTTTAATATTTGATTAAGAGGGGTACGCAGTGATATTTAAATACTCTGTCTTGTCTGGGAATCCTGTAGATTGTCCTTTTGTATCCTGTGGGCAGGTGGGATGTGAGGCTGGGCAGCCTGGGGACCTCTCAGCATACAACTCCATGAAGTCTTCACCCCACCTTTCAGTACTCTTTCTCTTCTGGTTTTGTCAGGGGAAAATTCCCATCAAATCAAGAAGGCTGTGCTAATTTGATTTCAAGGTTTGTCCTGAACAAGGGAGAACGATCATTAAATGCATTTTTAGTGGGTAAAACCAATGAAGATAATGGTTCATTCTGACTTTGAAGTTTGCAAATTAAATTCAACACTCTTTGTAGATAATAGCAAAAAATAGACTGGTCAGGCACTGGAACGGGCTGCCCAGAGAGGTGGTGGAGTCATCATCCCTGGAGGTGTTTGAAAACCTGAGTAGCACTTGAGGCTGTGGTCTAGTCGTTAGGGAGATGTTGGGATGAAGGTTGGACTTGGTGATCCTAGAGGTCCTTTCCAGCCATAGTGATTCTGTAAAGAAGTTAAGGCTGACACCTTCTGAGCTGGTTTCATTCCAGCAGGTCCACCTAAAAAGCTGTGTTTCCTAATAGCTTTATTTATATATCTATCAGTAAAGTAAATTTGTAATTTTGCATTGTAAATGGAATTTATATTTATTTATTTATTTATTTTTAAGTAGCAACCTGATGACTTTAAAAAAAAATCCTGAACTCATCTCTATGGTTTCTGGAGCATGTTGTATGTGCTGCTGTGAATGGTCACAGGGAGCAATACTCGTGGGTTACCCTGGTCAAGGCACCCTCTATTCCTGGCAGTGTCCATTGGCAAAACCTTCTCTCCAAGTCTGCACAGATTTTTTTTTTTTGTGGGAGTAACTTTTTAACCTCTCTTGAGAGTAAACTACATTGTGATCTGCTTCATTAGATGATTTTCCAGTCACTTAGAAACTTTTCCAGAGTTTTTTTATCCTTAATTTATCAGGGAAGTGTTCACCAGGTGTAAGTGTTGGTTCCAGTCAGTATTAGTATTACAGCCAGGTTCTGGGTTGTGCATGCACAAGTATTTAAGATGGTATGTTCTTTGATCCATGGGGAAAATCCTTTCCCTGTGTGGTCCATTTGTTTTGGTAGTTACAGGGAGAAGTTTTCAAAGGTATAGATCTTGAGCTTTTGTTAGTCCTATATTGCCTTGTATTAATAAAGAATACTCAATGGCAAAGTTAGCTGAGATCTCAGTCAAAACTGGTGTGAGCCTCTGCTGCCTGTTGCGGTGCTTGGGATGTGATGTTGTTGTCATCCCAGAGCTCTTCTGGCAGTTGTGGCAGCTTCAGAGAAGACTGTCATGTAAGATGGACTTTCCCTCTGCACCAAGAGATGCAGTACATTTTTATTGCCACCTTTTGTGGGTGTTCCCACTCCCTGGGGAAAGCCCGACTTTGCCAGAACCATCCATCAGGGAAAGGTGTGTTCTGTCCTATTCATGTTGTGCTTCATTTGAAAGTCACCGTACCAGGAGGGGAGAGCTGGTTCTGTGACTGACTTCATAACTGACGTTGGCAAGTGACTCTGTGATGGCTTCTGTATCTCTAAATAGCAATTAGGAATAATGCAGAGTTTTGTAAAGTCCTTTGAAATGAAAATTTGAAAAGCACTAGGGTGACTTCATTAGGAACATGGGCAGGTCTATGATTCGTTGATTTGTTTCTGGAACAAGACTAATAAGATCTATTCCTCACATGAATAAAATAAAATAACCTAATACCATCTCTAAAAGTGAGGGAAATGTAAGGCTATGTGCTCTTGTCTGGTAATTTAGACTGTTTTGTTTGCTTAGGCCACAGGGCGAAGTCCTATAGAGCAGAACATCCAAGGGTATGACTTGTTGGACTTGAACGCCGAGATGCCTGCATGAGTGTGGGTCGTAGGAGCACATCTTTTATGACCTGTTTTGAGACAGCTTGTAAAATGGGCCATAATTTGGCCTAAAGTATGCGTGAGCTCCCACAGGCAGAGGGGAAGCCAAAAATCACTTCCCTCCTCTGCCTTTATTATTTTAAGGCTGTCTCATACAAAAGCTAAAGTCTGTAGGACTCTGTATATAGACTCCTGAGGATGTTTTTGAAATTCAAGGAAACAATATACTCTTCTATTGAAATGTTCTCTCTCTTTTTTTTTTTTTAATTTTCAACTATAAAAATTCTTTCCATAGAAAATGAATAATGATTTGAGAAGTCCATAAACACAGGATTCTAGCTCTTTTTTTAATGTGCAGGAATTGTGTATAGCAAATGAGTTCTTTTCAGACTCTTCATGTCGCTTTTAACTAAATCACTGGCTTATAATTCATTGGTGTTTCAGAATGATGGTGTATAGAAATAGGCTGCATTAAGTCTACTTCCACTTAAATGCAAAGTCAAATGTCAAAACAGATGACCATGTGTGCGTAATACTGAGACCTGCTATGTGAAACGACTCCACCAATCTCCACTTAGACACTAGCTTGAAATAAGTAAATATTTGCATTAGAACAACCAGCCATGAAATATTGGTGGTGTTAATGAACACATGGGTCTGGAGCTTCAGCATTAGCACTCCCTGGGCACTAATGAAAATGTTTTTACCTCGGGTACTGTTCGCAGCTGTCTGGAAGCTGCACCAAGACTGAATCTTGAATTAGTTTAAAATGGAAGGTTTTGTCACTTCAGACTCCAAGTCCTTCTGTCTGTGTTGTTGCGGGGTGAGTTGGTTGTAGTGGTTTGATTTGGTTCTGGCTTTTTAAATTTCAACATGTCAAATTTTCTCCTAGAAACCTTTGAGGTCTCATGGACTATTCCCCAACAGCTTGCAACAGAACAGACCAGAAATGCCCTGTGATTTTTAATATTTCACTTGCCTTTAATAAGTCAGTTCAGTGACATTTTCGTTAGGTGTGAGTTTGGAGTTTCAGGGGGATTGTCACTGAACATATGCTCTTTTCTTTCTAAATAAGACGTTCTGTTTTTGTAGAGCGCTGCAAGTGCAAGCCCATAAAAGCTACCCAGAAGACTTACCTACGCAACAATTATAACTACGGTAAGAGCAGCTGCATGGTCAGCTCCCAACACTCTTAAAGCCACAACAAGGGGGGGAAAAAAGCCTGTGGTCCCAATTACTGATGGTTAATCCTGTGGCACTTGTTACAGAAGGAAGATTTGGCCTGAAACATTGCCAGATTAGAAGATTGGAGGGTATTAGCTTAATATGTTTGAAAAAGAGCGTCTTTGTTGACGTTGCTATTTCAGCGTCAGCGCAGGCATTTGGGGTTCATGCCCTTCTTCAGTGTGAAAAATGACATTGTGGGCTGCTATGGCTGAACTGCCTCTTTGATTTCCAGCTCTGATATGCTTTGCTTTTGCAGGAAAGGATGTTTTTACTAACTTTCACAACTACAAATGCACCATGGAATCTACCAGGCATAGTGGGTTCTTTCCATCTCACGTATCGAAGCCAGCAATGAGCATCGTGCCAGCTGGGTCATGCTGTCAGTAACACCTGTGAAACTGCACAGGGTCCATATCATGTCTTCTCTTGTCCCACTTGTCCTGGTCTTCAGGCATATCACAGGTCCAGGCTGCTACTTTCCTTCATACTGTTTGTTTTAAGCAAATCAGGCTGATAAAGCCAGTGAGTACATACCACAGGAACTGAGCAATTATGCCTGTCCTTTCTCCCATTAATCATGTGAATAGCCTTAGGCTCAGTGAACTTAAAGATTTCCTTTAAATGGTAGTGATCATGCAATATTTATTAAGATCTTGCATGTATACAGCTATTGTCAGATAAGCTTCCTTTAAAACCAGATCTTTTTGAAAGCAAAAAAATTCTAATTGTATTGAGTCAAACATCATTGTATTTTTTAGGTGACTAATTGATTTTATGTTGTCTTGGTGGATTTGTTTGGAAAATAGTTACAGGGTGACTGGTCTCTAGTGTGTACCTGCACATGGTAGAGAGTCATGGAGCATGTTACTGCCCATCTGTTCAAGCTTTTGATACTAAAGGGGTTTGAAATGCATTTGAAATAACTCCAAACAAAAGCAAGATTTTGTTTTTGATATCTTCAAAGGTTTGAAGGAAGTGGATCAGTTGGGGTAAATAGTGTGTATTAAATGCACAAGTTACAAATATTTGGTGGCTGTATTTAATGTGGCTGCAATATGTGTTGGGTGATCATCTTCATAGGCAATTTATGTGAATAGTGATGTGTAGATCTGTGGTTCTGTTTCTTCCATATCACCTTTTTTAGGTAAGTTAGAAGAAATTGGGAAGCTGGGAAATCTGCTATTTGTAATGGAAAGGGACTCTTGTTTGCAAGCTGTGAAAGACATGGCATTCTCTAGAGCATGACCTCTGGATTGGCTTTGCATTTGCATGTGGCATCAGTTCACTGGTCACCACCAGAGAAAAGAAAAGCATTGCCTTTGAAAGGCAACTTTTCCTCCCATGCAACTTAAGGCAAAAAGAAAGGATGAGGGAGGAAACAATTAGATGGGTCATCAGGTCAAGATCAGGAGCATTTGGAGTTCATAAAGTGCAGAGCAGATTGGTGCTGGGTCACTGGAGAGAGAATGAAAAAGGTAAGGGCCTGTCATCCAGCAGAAGTAGTGATATGAGAAGTTTTAGCGCACATTCGCCTTTTCTGAAAGGCTGAGGGTGACAAATGAAGTTCGGTCATCTGTACTGCAAGGAGTTAAAGGGGGAGCAGTTGCAGCTCAAGCGAGAGGGAGCACGTACAAGGAATGAATTGAATATATTTAAAGTGGAAAGGGAAAGAAGAAGGGGTGCTAAAGTTCAAGCCCAACTTAAACAGGACATAAATCCAACTGGTACATAGCTCCTGCTTGTGACCATACTGTTATGAGATACACTGAGCTACCTCTTGGTGGGGGATGAAGTGAAGAGGGGGGGGCAGGGACTTGTTGGAGTTCAGCTAAGCTTTTCATAATGTACCATGCAAAAGACTAATCCCAGAGGTCACCAAGAACAGCCTGGGGGTGACCTGCATTATCTGCTGCTGCTAACTATACTCTTTGTGACTGTTTCCCAGTGATTCGGGCTAAAGTGAAGGAGGTCAAGATGAAATGTCATGACGTTACTGCAGTAGTGGAAGTAAAGGAGATCCTAAAATCTTCCCTGGTGAACATCCCAAAGGACACTGTAAACCTCCACACGAACTCTGGCTGCCTGTGCCCACCACTCAGTGCCAATGAGGAGTACATCATTATGGGCTACGAAGATGAGGAGCGCTCCAGGTGACTCTTTCTGCATTGTTCTTGGAGCATAATTGTTGTTTGTTGTTCCCCTGCCCGTAAAGCTGTTGATGGAGTAACTGGTTGTCTCTGTGATGTAGGTTACTTTTGGTGGAAGGCTCCATAGCTGAGAAATGGAAGGATCGTCTCGGTAAAAAAGTGAAGGTAAGAATATAACACACCAGAAGTCAAATGTTGCAGATCCCATGAAACATCTACCTAATCTTTTCAAATAAGGGAGGCAAATATCTGTGCTCACATGAGTTAAATAATGTAGAGTATCAAAAATTAACCTGGTGCTATTTGCTATATTACTTAGAAATACATGCTGAATAAACTGAAGGGGTACATGGAATTACCCCCAAGCACACCAGTGCAGCAGCAATCAAACCCTCACTCTCAAAAAAAGCGAACAGTAGGAGCGTTTTAATTGTGCAGTCTTCAACACACACCTACTTAATTGGGATTGTGATACTAATTAGCAAAGAAAAAGAGGGCTTTACAAATGTTTTCCAGACTCAGTCAGAATTATACTCTTCAGATTTAATATTCTTTAAGTACAATTCTCCTAGCAAATTATGTGGATTAAATTTACCCTCCTGGCTTAGATGAAGGAGGTACATGATAAGGAAGTCATGTCAGAGCAAACTGGAAGCCATGAGCTCAAATGCAAGCAGTATATAAAAATAGGTTCCAACATTTTATAATTTAAACATATTCTAATGCCTGCCAAGTTCTGGAAGGATTGCCTTTTTATGTTTTGATGTGCTACAAAGTATCAGTGATTTTGACATTGTTAGAGTGTCATTTTACACAGAATATTCTGATTCTGACACATTTTTCTCAGCTGTTGATTTGGCATAGTGGTCACGCCTGTGCAAACCAGTCTCCTCTTCCACTCAACACTTTCTTTAACAGTGTTAATGGTGACTGGCAGGAAAATACTGTTCTGATGACAAGTGCAGGATTTTCTGTGCACATTTGTCACATCCACATGGAGACTACATGAGTGAAAAGATAGGGGGATCTTACTCCAAGCTGTTGTTCGATTTGGCAGAACTGTATGAAATCCAGTGCTGCAGAACAAATACCATGTTACTAAAACGGGTGGAATTCTGCCAAGTTCCAGCAACAGCTTTTAGGTTTTTTGCTGCTCTTTGTAAATACGTGCAGTTGATTTACAAATGAAGTCTCTTTGCCTTTCTATACGCAGCGCTGGGACCAGAAGCTCCGCCACCTTGGGAAGGGGAAGGGAGAGTCTGGACACAGTGACCCTGCTCCAAAGCCTGGCAAACCCAGTGGTGCCCGACAAGCACGTAGTTAGGTGTGGGATGCTCTACGTTGACATGCAGTGGACTATCTACCAAGACGTCATCGTTGGAGCAGCAAAGGAGAAATTGCACTATTGCACGTTATATTCTATTGTTTACTACAAAATAATGTTTTAGCTTATATTAGTTTTTAATCTTCCTCTTGTTTTTCCACCTTTGTTTTTTCAGATTTGTGCGAGCTCTGGAATTTGTTTGTTTTTTTTTCTGTTACCAAGAACTGTAGAAAACTGCCCTTATGAGATGGGGTAAGATAAGGACATGTTGAATTCACTATTTTTATCTTCTGAATTACATAGGGAGAAAATTCTGATGCAAGCATTATTGAGATCTGGCAAGGACTGTCGCTTCAAGTCATGACTCGCACTGGCTTCCCCCTTTCACTCTTTCTTGGTCACTGTTGAAACTTACTGTGCTGGGGAGAGGTTGTTATCTGATTTGAGGTGCATAATTTTTTATTCTGAAATATATAAAGAAATGATGTTAAGAGAACTGTTTTAATCAGTACACCTTTGTTAAGTTTTCTTATAAATAAACCACTTGTGTAAGCCAAAGTCTAACTTAAAACATTTCCTGCAACAAACACGTGCTTGTACACAGGGGACCTGAGTTTTCTAGAGCTCTGGACCTTGCAGGAAAGGTTGTATAGTTCTGTTACCACAGGACGTAATTTATAATATACTTCTTCTCTTATAATGGCAGTTTTTCCCCCCTCTTCTTTCCTTTCTCTGCTGAGTTGTAGGGAGTAGACTGACTTACCAGGCCTGCTTCTCAGTACAGGTCTGCACTTTACCCTTTTGATTTCGTGGTGTTATTCTTAAATCTTTGCCTACATAAACAAGTGTTCAATGCTCGGTAAAATATGTCCAATAAAAGAATTGTAGTTGCCAACACAGACCTTATCTGACTTTTGAACCAACATCATATTTTTTATATTACCGTTGAAAATACATATTAAAAACAAACAAACAAACAACAAAACAACACTTCACTTTTGTGCTTTTAGAGAATTCTTTGCAGGTAGTGCCAACGTACTTGGAATGATCCATTTTCCTATTCTCCCGTTCTCAAGAGAAACTAAAGTGGGGTAAATAGAAAAAAAGTCTTCTTCACTGTAGTCTACAGTGGGGAGTCCACACTACCTTCAGATGCAAATGAATGTTGTCTTCTCAGCTGTCACTGTTGCCTTATGTGCATTAGGGCTGCCTTTCATTAAGAAAACTGTGTCAAATTTTTGGGTAGGTTGAAAATACGATGATGATAATAACTAAACATAAATATTTGGGTATATAAATAATAATGCTATTTTAACATTTCCATTAATAACCTGAGATCTCCAGGTAAGTTTTTCGTTGGGTTGGATACCAAGCAAGTTGTAACGTAAAACTGTTTCCTGCAACACTCAGACTTTTATTTTTATTTAAAATTAAAATTAAAGGGGTAATTTAGATGAAAGAGCAGGTCTTTGCCTGTGGTGGTCACATTAGGTGTGGCAAGGTGAGCATCATCACTGAAGCAGCAAGTCCTATGAAGCCCATTATCAATCATATTTAATTATTGGGTATTTTACCAAGTTTGGACTTGGGTATTTTTTAAGAAGAAAGTGACTAGCAGGCAGTTAATGTGAGAAGGAAAATGTGCTGTGTTAAAAAAACCAAAACCAAACTTCAGAGTAATCTTGTTTACTACTGTCCTCCTGTCCCCATTCTCTGAGCCTTATGAAGAAAGCAAAGACCTCTGTCGTTTTACATCTTGCTCAATTAGACCTCAGTTTGGGGCTCATCTAGCCTCTCATGCAATTTGAATTAGTCTATGATGTGAATGGTTTTATTTTTTTCTTCATCAAGTTGTGTTGAGCTTTGCTCTGTGTTTCCCCTCACTGTCAGCCCAGTCCTGCACTCCAAGCAGGTCAGTGTCTGCCAACAGGTAGTGTTTTACACAAATAATCTGTAAAGGTCCTGCTTCCCATCCAGCAACTAATTCATTCCACTTTTAAAGTAAGATACTCTTGCTTCATCTTTTAATCCCTTCAGCCAGAGTCACAAGAAAAACAATGTTCTTTGGGGACAAAGAAAATGAAATAAATCAATCTACTCCATTAGTTGATGAGAACTGGTTTCTGATCTTCTTCAAGTCCTTAATGCTTTGTGTGCTCATTCCCATTCTTCATGTGATAACAGGTTGATGGCCAGAAAGTGAGGTGGCTGGGTTTGGTGTCATTAACCACTGCTGGTTTGCATTTCCAGTGAGGAGAGGAGGTGTGGTGGCTTCCTCTGAAGGAGAGCAGAGGTGCTAGTGGTGGGTTTGCTCTCCTCTGCACCATGTCAGCCAGGAGGACTGGTTACCTGTCTCTCTTCCCTCAGCTAATGGGGCAGTTGAAGAGGTAAGGGGGCGTTCACTGAGATGTGCTCACCTCTGTCAGAGCAAGGTCTTGGCAGCAGTCACCCCAGCGTCCCTCAGATGAGCACTGACACTCATGGATGAGAAGCATCTTGGTCCTGCTGGGGCTTTTAAAGTGGGGACTTTCCCATACAGAAACCACTGGCATGCCAGGAAATCTGTGTGAGCCAACGTGCATTGAGCTGTTTCCTCGAGCTCTCTAGGTCTGAGTTAGATGTTGAGAATATCTGTACTGGAGGAGTACAGTCTGGGAGCCAACATAGCTCACTGCAGCAATAATGGCATCTGACCTTGGGTGTCACCAGGGATGAGAAGCAGCTGTTGGTTCTGTATCCCACACTGTTCACTGGGGTGTTACTAGGTGACCCTGCAGTTTGTGCAGGGCTCTCCCCAGACCCTGGCTCTGCCACTTGCTTCAGGAAAAAAAGACCTTGGATGGCTCTAGAGCACTGGCTGCACCAAAGCTTCTAGAAAGGGCTTTGATGGTGTGTGTGTGTTTTAAATAACCATCCGTGTGCTGGAGGGAATGCTGGTTTCCCTCTGTTGCCCAAGCTCTCCTAAAACAGTACGGAGACAGTATGGAGCTTTTAATCTTCCCTGTTTACCTGCAGTGAGGGTACTTGAGAGTCATGGTCAATCTGTTATGAAAACTTGTAGCTATTGAAAGAGTGCTCTTAGTCATTAAGAGTATTTACTTGTTTCATTTCAGAACTTGCTTGTTTGGAGGCAACACTAAAATCTTATAAAAGGAGGGCAAACAAAACGGTGTGTGACAGCCAGCTTGTTAACTGTGTACAACATGGTTATTTTACTGGGTGATGCACATACCTATGCGTGCACATGTGACCAAGTGTCATGGGACGTATAGGATTGATTAAAACCATGCCTTTCCCACATCTGGGTTATATTAGTCCAGAGAGAAAATATGCAGCTTAAAATCTCTGTGGATAATTAGCCTGACGTTGCTTATCACCCTGTCCTAGTGCAGCTCAGCAGAGGAGAAGGCAGGAGGAACAAACACTAAAGCTGCTTATTTGCAAACAACGTCTCTAGTTTCTGGCAGGGGTTGACTCACGGTTTCTATAAATCTGCTCTGGACATGTTGGTAATGGCATGAAAATAACAGAGGTTAAATGCAGGCTGGGTGTTATTCTTTTCATGTAAAATTCCTTCCCTTCAAGCAAAGAATGAGCAGAGTCTATATGGTGAGAAGAACTTTTGCACTGATGCTAATGAGAAGAGCACAGTTCAGTCGGACAGGCTTGCAAGGGGAGGCAGCCCCAGTAGCAGTAGGCAGCCGGAGGGGCCTCCTGCTTGCAGAAAGCCTTTGTTCAGAGAAAAATGCAAAATCAAGATCCTCGGGGGATGCGGCGGTGGAAGAGGGGCAAGTGGAAGATGTCAGCGTTTTTAGAGGGTGGATAAAGTATCAAACAGCCTCTATAACAGGGCTCAACTGGAATCAGGGTATTTTTATATATATATATAAGATTCTAGTGTATTGAGCCTAAGAAAAGTATCAGTCAAGCACAACATGGCTGATGGGATGAGATGTGTCCGCTGGGACGTACACCCTGGGCAGGTCCAGTGCCTGCTGGGAAGAGCAGGCGGCGGGGGTCTGCAGCTTGGGGGGCTGCCAGGGCTGCTTCCCCTACCCAGTGCTGCTCTTCTGTGAGATGCCAAAATCCCTACCTTGAAGGGCTTGTGTGTTATAAATTAGGCGGGTAAGTCAATGGGATAGTAAGGAGGACTGAACAAATGAGCATTATGGGCTGGGGAGGTAATACAGCTGCTGGTGCTTAAATCCAGCTGTGCAGGAGAGATTTACCGGCTACTATTGTTTCCCTTCCTTCACATGAGATAACCCAAATCCCATACCAGCTGGTAATGGCTGCTCATGGCATGGTCCTGGTAGCCTCGTGGAGCACGCGGAGTCCAGACCCTCCGGCAGTGCTGCTGTATAACTTAATAATACAAAAAAGTCCTTCACTTCATGTGTAGGGCAGTACGGCAGCTCTCTGTCCTGCAGAGGCGAGCTCAGGAAGTCATTCTGCCACCTTTGGTGGGGGGATTTTGATCCCCTCCATAACACAGTGCAAGTTATTAGATTACTATTCACTTTGGCCAGTGGTGTCGGAGCATGGCTAGGTGCAGACTCGTGATTGCTGTCTTGCTGCACATGAGCCATGGCTGGTGTGTTCTTTGCACTTGCATGCTTTACAAGCCTGCAGCAGTAAAATGAATGAAGAGAGGATGGAGAACAAAGTGCTACCATCCCAGCAATGCAATGACCCTTTCCTGATGATAAACAACGAAGCCCTATGCGTAAGATGCATTCCTGAATGGTTGCTGCACCACAGCATGACCAAGGATAACACCAAAAAGCAATGTGTCCAGAAAGCTCTCTGTAACTGCCTCATTGAGCAGACACCACTAGCACAGAGATCAGCAGCAAAACTCCTTGGGTTTGACCCTCTTTGTCAAAATGTTCTTGTTCTCTGTCTTTTAGGAAGGGAAAAAGAAGCTGTGTTCCCTGTAGGGTCCTTGGGCAAAATATATTTGTTCACTCCTCTGACCTGTCCTCCTTGGGGGTTCAATCCCTACCCCCGGGGCACCAGGTTAATTGGTACCTGGTTTCTCCCACACTTCCCAACCGCTGGAGATCATCAGCCCATGCTCCAAACGTGGGGTGGCCTTGCGTGAGGCCTCCCAGATGTGTAGTACACCTTGATTTTTTCAGCTCATGCTGGAGAAATGTGTACAGATACAG